TTATCTCTCTACCATCAGAAATTTGTTAGTTGTTGATCTATCTTAAAAAAGTTGCATTAGTTGATGAGGAGTATATGACCATGATGGACTTTCGATTCTCTATCCTTCTATTAAGCTACCTCCTTGTTTCTGCACTCTTAGAGATTTCCTTCTCACCAACATGGAGAATGCTCATAAGTATCACCAACTTTTTCTGAAACTCATCCATCTTGTGTGTTACACATCATTTTTCACCTTTGACAACACCATCTTCATACAAGAAAGAAGTGTTTTCATGGGCAGTTTCTCCTCAATGATCTATCGTGAGCTAGTCATTTGCAAATGACTAGATCACGATAGATCATTGAGGAGAAACTGACACAATTTGCAAATGACTAGCTCACAATTTGCAAATGACTAGCTCACAATTATTAAAAAAAAATATGTGAGGCTCAGTGGAATCCTATAAAGTTCACTTGTATCTGGCATCCATAAAAGACTGCTCATCACTGATTTTGATGTTTGCTAAGCAATGTGGGATGCTAATGCTGAAAACATACTAAAGTATGGAAAAAAAGCTTAAAGATTTTCTAAATTTTTATACCTAATAAAATGCTTTGTTTTTAATTAGATGCATTATCATTGAAACATAACCAAATGATTGCCTTAAATAAACTCTGCTAATTTAATAATTAATGCTAAGTACTTGCTACTAAAGGTTGACATTAAGCACCATGTTGTCACCAGCCAGTGCCTTGATTAACCATGTAAGGTTACATCTAAATTTAAATACATCTGGAAGCGAGGGCTTGCTTGGGGTTCAGGTGGTGCAACAGTCAAGCGCACTGCACGGCAAGTGGAGATTGTATGTTCAAGCCCTGCTCCGAGTCAGTTCTTTTCTTCTAGATGATTCTAAATTATTCATTAAATTATTAAATTATAATTATTAATTTAGTTAAGAGATGGCACTTAATGTCTATCTCTAGTAGCAAATTACTTAATATTAATCATTAAATTAGCAAAGTTATAGCCTGACTATGCAATGTTTGATATGCATTATCATCTAATGTTGAAATCTCAGACATCTTTTTTGATGATCCTGTGTTATGTAAAAATATTACTACCGGTATTATCCAAAATTAAAGTAACAAACAAAACCTGTATAAAATCAATTCCATGAATAGTGAGTAGCTGAAACTTACATCATATTAATATGTGAATCCGCAAAATGTCATGCTGTCACAGATGTGACATCTAAATAAGGCATGATAGCAGTGCACCTGTGCTACAAAATGCAATGTGTTATATATATGCTACAGCAAAATTATTTCTGACAATCAATCATCTACTAGAACTGCTACCAGTGGAAGTCTTACTGATATCCTCAAAAGTGTCCTCAATGAATGATTCTAATGCCTCAGAGAAGGCATTAGAATGATTTATTACAATGGAGAGCTGCTCATTTCTGCATTTTTGCCACTTACATTTGTGTGTGATGCTTTAATTTTGAATGCAGATATAGCTTAACTTGTGAAAGTGGAAAATATATGCAAATGATTACCAGATTAAATTGGGCTACATTATCACTACTAATAATTATTAAATTACTTGGGTATTTAATAATTATTAGTAATAATAATGTAGCCCAATTTAATCTGACTATTGCCTGGTTTTTATAATAATAGATTGAAAAGCAGCTAATATTAACCAAGAGTAAATAAATAAATAATTAAAAGATATAATTATACTATAGAATCATTCAGAATAAGTGAATAAATGAAGTCCTTGGGGCAANCGCAGGCCGCCAGTTGGACAGCACTGATCTAAGACAAAAAATTATCTAGAAAGAGCAAGAATATAGTTTAAAATATCTTTTCAAAGATATAAATTAAATTTCTCTTGATTCAATCCAACTTAATCTAGAAATTAATTTACAATTAAGTGTTATCTATTTCATTTAATAAAGCTCACTTTACTAAAGTAATAATTGATGAATATGTCATTAAAAAGGTAGCATATGACATTCTACTATGATATCATTATAGTTCTGAATTACTATGATTTGTCTTATATAATAATATGAATTATTCCTATTTTGTAAATGTTTATTATTCTTTTATTGTTTATATATGTGGGAAATATACATATCTATATATTAATTTGTCATGATGATATCATAATACAACAAAGTGACTTTTAGGACATAATAGGTTTCTAGAAATTCAACATGGAAGGAAATGGTCAAAATAAAATTGTCTGATCTCTGGCAATGTATCATTCAATAGTTAAGTATATTTGTAAAAAAATTTATTATTTCATTTCCTGAGAAACAAATAACTGATTTGCTGCTCAAAAAATCAAACATAAAATATGTATAGTGTTTAATTAATTTTGCTACCTCTTATTTATTATTTAAAATACATAAATTAATTTAAACAGATACTTTCAAATTTATATCTTATTTAATACATTAATAGTTAATAATATTCAATTCTTCAGAATTTATTAATAATTTAAAATATTGCCAACTTGCTATTAAGTTAATTGATAACAGAATCTAATCTTTGTAAACATCTCTTAATATTTAAATTATCTGTCTCTGATTAAGTATGTCTGAAATACACACATTTATCATTCTAAATTGTTTCTCAGTAATCATAAATCAGGTCACCCAAAATTAAATATTTCTTAATGATCAAATATGATAAATAAATTATAAAAATTTTTCAAATTAAGTTTATTTTTTTCTACTTTATTATTATTGAGTTAAAATTATCTGAAATTGTTGCTTAGAAAAAACACTATATATTTAATCATTAGTGGATTAAATATATAATGTTTAAATGAATAACTAATGATTAAATATATAATGTTTAATTAAATAACTAATTGATAAATAAAAAATAAATTACATTCAACAACTCAGTTTTAATGTTTTTGAGTATCTTTCCCAAGAAAAAAAAAAAAGCTTCTGACATCAGCTTTTTCCATGTCTCTCATGTGTGCATTTCTTTTTCTTCAAGCAATCTCTAACATTATTTTTCCCCACAACTAATTTTAAAGAATTAAATGTCTAACATAAACATCAAATCAGGAATCTTAGATTGATATTTTATTAAAATCACTAATAAAATAAGTAACTATATTTAATAAAATAAATATCTAATTCAATCAGAATTGTTCCAAGAGACACTTTATTTTTAATCTGATCATCATAAATTGTATGTAATTTTAATCTGAATATTTTTATTTTAAACATTTGCTATAATAGGTTATTATTATTATTATTTGTTTTCTATATTGATAACAATTTTTTTTAAATAAAAAAAAATTGTTATCAATATAGGAAACAAATTTTTTCCCCCCATTAACAAGTAAGAGCAATATCTTACTAGAAAATGATCTCTACTAAAATCTGATAAACACAAACATCCACACACAAAACAAAATATAGACTTCCATTCTAATGATAAAAAAATATCTGAATGAATAAGCTGTCAAATTAGCAAATTCAATTTGGTATCATTTTGATCTGATTTTCAATTCTTAAAATATAAATTTTAACTTTTATAACTATAACAGATAAATAAATAGTTTGCAATCTACTTATCTAAATATAAAAACAGTTAAATTATTAGTAATAAAGTACAATAATAAAAACAGTAATCTACATTTGTATGATTGTAACAGATTTGTCTATTAATATTTTCTTGTAAAAAATTTATATGCAATGAAATTATTTCAAACTGGAAAAAAGTTTCAAAGGATATAAAAGAACTAGAAATAAAAATCAGTTAACTTTTTTATTAATCTTTTTCAAGAATCATAAAAGTTATTTTGATAAAACATCTTGTGAAAAAAATCAAAATCATTATCAATTACTTAGGTAAAAATAAATATCACTAAATAGGAAAAAATAGGAAGAAAATAAATATTGTTACCTATAAGAGCAAATTGTTACATTAAAAAATTTTGCAAGTTGAAAAATTAGAATAAATGAAAATAAACATTATCTATATTTAATCATAACAAATTATTAAAATGCACTCTAAAATCTTCTTAAATATTTTATAAAAGGAATATATAAATGGGGAAAAAAATCAAAAATAGCAATTATACTTAATATAACCATACCAGTACTTCAAAATGTTTTGAAACAATATTTTGATGTGACAATAATACATACACAAATACTATAAACAAAGAGAGCATGAAAAGATTTTACAGCAATTTTATTTCATAGAAAAACTATTTTACAGTAAATAAATCTTATAACTACAGAGATACATTTCAATTAATAATTCTTGCATAAAATCATATACTGTATTAAGTGCAAAATAAAAAAATAATGTTTGAAATATATCTTATTCTAAGTGATATTAACTAATAACTGAAATTATTATTATTTATGTAGAGTCATTTAACAAGCATAAAATTATTGATTATGATTAAATAGAAAATCTCTAAATACATCATAAAAAGTATTTGATATATTCTAAAGAAAACAGAGTATGTAATTTTGAGTCCAAATTAAATTATTTACATTGTGTTACACAAGTTCAAAGGTGATAGAATCTTGAACTGTAGTAATAAATTATTAAATCATAATCTAATTGAAAGCATATGGAATGTTGTTAAAAATTCTTAACAATGCCAAATTTATAATGATCAGCTGATGATAAAATAAACATGAAATTTAATCTTTTGCGAGATATGTTGAAATGCTAATAATACTTTAATTATGTCTTGATACATAATTAGGCAACCACTTAAAGCTAAGAATGAAATTAAGAAATGCTGAATTAATGTTAACATTACAAGCATATTGAATTAAGATAATTTCTAAGAATATAAAAAATACATTTTTTTTCTGTTAATCTCTAGTAATTAAATAAGACCAGATTATTTTATGATTTCTTGGTGAAAGAATTTTCTAAATTATACTTTTGATTTTGAAGTAAAATCAAATTTATCTAAATATCTAAATATGTTGTTATAAAGATTAAAAATAATTTACTCACTTGATAATGTTGGTCTAACAACAATTGGATAGGGTGTCAACATTCCCCAAGATTTTAAAACAAAAACTTCTTTTCTTGCTTCTGAATTTTTATCCATGTATAAAGAAAAACAATTTGAATCTATAGCTGCAGCATCCACTTTTTTGTTCAACACCATTCGAAGAGACTCAAGATGAGAACCTTAAGAAAAAGTTAATGAAAATAATTATGTCTATGCAATACACTAAAAATAGACTTTTTACACATTTAAAATTCTAATTCATTATTATAAACTTTATAAATTATTATTAAAATAGTATACTATATAGTTACTAGTATAGACATTAGTATAGTAATTTTATACAAATTTTTAATAAATTCATTTTATTAAAAAAATTAATATTTGTAAAATTTTTCATCAGAGGCATGAAATCCTTCACCAATATTTTTATTTTCATCTAAGAACTTAATTGAAACAATTTAATTTACATTAAATTTGGTTAATTATGTCATAAAATAAAACTAAGAAATAATTTCAGAAACAAAAATTACAAAATAAAAATATGAAAAAGCATGTAAAATTTAATTAAAAACAATGTAGAAATCAGTTATGTCTTTCCAATGTGTTTCTTTAAAATAATTTTCAGTTGCATCATCATCATCAACAAACTTCATCTTCACTCAAAAGGTTGTAATGAGTACAATGTCAGATGAGTTTCCATTCATTCCAAAACCCTTTCTAATAATTTGGCATTTTGATAAAAGCCAGCTGATATCCATTTAATTATATGTTTAAAAAATTTTCAAAACAATTCACAAATAAAAATAAAGTATAAACTACTTAATGAATAAAAATTTTTGAAACTTCAGGGCTTTATTTTCGGATACATAAAACTGAATGATAAAGTAACAACAAATAAAAACAAAACAAAGATATCTACTGTTTTTATTTACAGCTTTAGTTAGTTTATCATTCAATTTTAAGTATGTAATACAGCCATGTGAAGCTTCAAAAAACTTTTATTTATTAAACAGTTTATGAATATTTTTTTATTTGTGAACTATCAAATGTTACAGGCAAATTCTTATCAGGCTGCAAAATTTGATTAGTAATATTTTCAGACTGTTTATATATCAAATTTGTGAACTGTTTTGAAAGTTTATCAAAAAAATATATTGAAATTAATATCTAATATTAATAATTCTAATAAACTTCTGTAAATCTTTTTCTTTTGTTTCCTTTTTCCTTTTCCTGTCAATGCTGCCATTATTTAAAATTCCTAAAAATAATCTGATATTTCTAGTAATTTTGAACTTCCTGCTGGTGACCAAGTTTAAAAATAATAATAAGCTCTTTCTTCATTTCAAATGTTTTGCATTAAAACTTTTATTTATCCATTTTACTTTTAAAATTGTCATTAGTAACAAAATTCAAATATACAAATTATTTTCTTCATAACTCTCAAATCAAGTCTAAGCCTCACAACAATATAAGTTCAATTTTACAGATTAAAAAATTTTTGTGATTACAAGATTAATATTTCCTTTGATTACATGGTATTTTCAACAGGATTCTTTTTCTTTTTGTTCTCCTTGCAATGACTCCTATGATATATGTGTGGTAAAAGATATGACATCTCCTTCATTATATAAGAAAACATTTTTTCATAGTTTCTGTAAAGCTTATAAAGTTTAATATTTAAAATAAAAATGTTCACAAAATTCTATTCAAACAATTAAGCTAATTTATCAAAACTTGTTTAAAAAATTTTTTAAAATATATTGGTTGGTTGGTATGTAAAATGAAATATGAGATTGAGAATGAAATTGACATAATACAGAAATTTCAAATATGAAAAATACATTACTTCTTAAAAATTAAACATATGAGAAACTTTCATTCTAAAGTAATAAATATGGAATCATTCAGACAGTGGCATAGCTACATATTCAGTGCCCTGGAGCAAGTCGAATTGATGCACCCCTTGTTCCTTGGAAGAAGTCTCGCAAAATTTATTTCAAACATTTAATTTAAAAACATATCTAATTATTTCGATTTAAAACCTTACTTAATAGCAATTTATTTGAGATTCAAGGCATTTCAACAATAAGATATTCAATTTAATAAATCTTATAATATAATCGAGATGGGTTAATAATAATGATAATGATGATAATAATAATAATAAGCGCAGAGCCCAAATGGTTTGAAGTTGAATGTTGAAATTTGATACACAGTTAGGGTACACCATGCTAATGCATATTAAGAGGAGATTTTTTGTTATTCCTTTAACCTTCAAATCTTTAATCCTCTTCTTCTCCCCCGTGGGGGGAGGAGAAGAGGATTAAAGATTACGCTGAAGAACTTAGCTTCTACTGTACTATTTTGGATGTGGTATTTTGAATATACTATCAATATTTTTACAGATATAATCAAAGCTAGATAGAAAAATTAATTAGACAATTCATATTTTCTCACTAATAAAAATTAATCATTATATTCATAACCTTAAATATTCATGCTTTATCAGAAATCATAAGATACATGATTACATAATATAAATTTTTAAAAATAACTATTAAAATTATTTCTGAAATTTATTATTAGTAATTTCTGTTAAATAGAATTTATCTTAAATGACTTCAACTAAATTTATTGTTATAAAAAAATCTAGTAAAATAATCACAGAATTAAAAGTAATGAAAAAACAAATTGCAGAAGTATTGAAATTAAATCAACATAGGCTATTTATTTCTATAATTTAAGACTACTTAAATCAAATTCACAAACAATATACGATATACGAGACGTTACTGAATTTCCACAAAAACGTTTATATTACGAGTAAAACGTATGTACAGTTACAAAAGTTCACCGACAACAATTACAAAACGTCAGGTGTAACAAAGTTCAGTTACTGTTAATCCACGACAACAGCTCCGTTGAAAAGGACACCTTGCGATGAACTTCTTCCAACGTTAGTTACCGCACAGTGAGACGAAACAATCTTCTAGGCAAACTTAGGCGAAGCTAGACGAACATGAGTTCCCTCAATGTGTCCTAGGCGAACTAAACTTCCGGCCTAAACTCAATCCTTTTTATATGGATTGAAGCAAATGGAATTCCACCAATCAGTGCTTAGTAGCGCTATAAGATACCTGCTGGTGGTACAATGTCTTCCAGCCAATCCGTGGTCGAGTTTCCAAAGTTGCCAGATCGGCGTTCCCATGGTGCCAACTGTCATTCGTTTGAAAATACGGAAAAGTGCAGGAAATCATATGTCGGACGATTTTACCCTGACAACTTAATATTTATTATTTTAAGATTTCAAAAATGATTATTAAAAAATTAAGGAATCATCAAAAAAGACCATTAATTGAGAAGTTGCCTTAAATTTATATAAATCTAAAATCAGTTTCAACAGTCATTGTTTCAATAACTGATGAAACTGATTCAAATTAATTTTAGTGTATTAATAAATGCAGATATTTTTCTATTTTCTTTCTGTAAAACTGTTTTCTCCTTCAATTAAAACCAAGTTGAGTATAATATATATATAGTATTTATTCTAATAAACAACACAGCTGCAAGACAAAAAAGTTATAGATAGCATCATCTAAAAGTAAGTGCACTGACTATTAGAAATGATATAGCATGTTGTAAACTGAAAAATTGCACAATCTATTCAGTATTCTCACTATTACCTTATGTTGAAATAAAGCATGAGTTTCTTGCAAATTGTGCTGTTTGTTCAAATACAGTCGACCCCCTATAACACTGCTGATAATTCTGCTTTATATGAATTCCATGTTGTACGAGTCACTTAGATTTTACAAATACTTGAGACGTTCACAGCCCGGCACACGTATTTGTAAAATCTAAGTGACTCACACAACATGGAATTCATATAAAACGGAATTATCAACAGTGTTATAGGGGGATCGACTGTAATAATATAAACAGTAAATATTATATTTACTGGACTCGTGCACATATAGGTACCCATGGTAACGAAAGAGCTGATGCCTTAGCTAAGGCAGCTTCCAACAATAATAGTCTTAATATCTCTTATGATAAAATCAGCACCAGTACTCTCAAAAGAATTCTCTGGCAGGATCTCCTATTAACTTGGCAAAACACCTGGGACCAACATAACCACCCTATTACTCATAGATTTATACCTTGTATCAAGACCTTTTTTACATACAAATGGTACAGACCTAATAGTTTTGTTACGCAATTTCTTACCGGCCATGGTCGCTTTCAATCTTATCTAGCGAGATTCGTTAACGCAACCAGTTCAATGTGCTCCCTGTGTGGTGTTACAGATAGTAATGTGCACTACATTTATGAGTGCCCCATGCTTAATTTGGAGCGACATATACTGATTACCACTATTAATTCACATGGCCATAACTGGTCTGACTATAACACAATCCTTCGTGAAAAAGACTCATATGAGGCCTTTTTCGACTTAATCACCAAATACTTTGCACGTACAACAGTCAGTGGCTTTTAGTCAGCTTTGTACTCAATCACTCTCTTGAGTATGATACGATACCATCTTATTCCGATTCATCAAATAATTCTAATTTCAGCAGCCATCATGTTACACATCATAAGCCTCAGGATGTCTGGCATAAGTCTAATTTATCCTGATTATTCAGTAGTTATTCTCTACCAAAGTGTACTGTTTACGTGCGGACAGATGATCAAGACTGCAGCACTAAGTTTACAGTACACAATATATACATTAGTGCTGAAGAACATTTTTCTTCATCCTATTTTGCTTATGGCTGTCTCTTTTTAAGGATGGACTTTGTGTATTGGTGTCGAATGTGACTGGATTTTAGCTGAAATCGCACCAAGCACAATCTTCGAGACACCGCTCGATCGTCAGTGTTTTCTGTATTGTATTGTATTGTGTTATTGTATTGTGTACCTATTACACCTGTGTATTTTACCTTTATATTATAATTAATTATGTATTTTGTAACACCTATATCTATCTGTATCTTTATTATTGTAATTTGTTATCACCGGGTAGTGCTCACTGCGGAACCCGGCATGTACCATTGTGTGCGTTAATAAAGAAATGAATGAATGTAATAATGTAGTGAAAAAAGTTACTGAATTTATTCTATTAATAGTCACCTTTGAATGATAGTATTCACAAAGAATAGAAATAATAAATGCCCTCTAATAAACAGTGCAGTTGCAAACTAAAAAAAGTTATAGACAGTGCACTGTTTATTAGAATAAATATGGTATACATATTATATTATTTAATTAGTAACTTTTTAAATAAGCAAAATATTTAAAAATTTTTTTAAAATAGCAAATAAATAAAATTACTGATCTCAACATGACTTAAAAATTATCAATCTGAACATTTAAATTAAAATTAAAATATAAAACATATATAACTTAAAAATTTTTGAAATTTCATTTTTATAATTTCAACACACCTACTATATTATGTTTTTTCAATGCATATAGATTCATTGTTAAAATATTTTCTTTGATATATTAAATGTACAAACAAAAACTATACTTTTATCAAACTGTAATTTTAATTATTTATTATTTCTATTGAATATTTTAGTTTTAAATTAAATTGATTTAACCTATGAATTTCAATCTTTGATGTTAAATATATTAAAATATATATTTGTAGACTGTAAAAATTATTTATATATGAAACTAACAGTATTAATAGTTTCTTACCTGAATACAAAATAGTACCAAAAAAAGATGCATTTTCCCCTAATTCTTTTAAATTTTGAAGTGTTATAACATGACCACTTAATGATTCACCACAATTATAAGCCCATTTAGAACCTCTCAAATCTATGAAATCTTTTACTTTATCCCTGAAAAAAAAAAACAAGCATTTATTTAACTGAAAGTTCTCAAAAATTTAAATAATTTACTACATTGTCAATTTTACATTAAAAATATTAAAAATGAAATTTTAATTCTCACATATTACTATCTCTAATTAAAAATAAAAACTTTTTTGTGGCTTGAAAAACCCACATACCAAACAGATTTAAAAATAGAGTTATAATGGGTCTATTCAAATGTATAAGATATGTCTTTTTTAAGAAACATATTTGTCATTATATGACAATTACCATTATGATTACATCATTATTAAAATTAGATATCATACATATAAGTTTTAATAAAAGATTGAACAAATTTTCAAGTTTAATACAAATAGTATGTAAATCACAAGCTTATGATCTAACAAATAAGATGGCAGAATTAAGTAAATAATGTTTAAAGGATAAAATAATTTTTGTGTATTCAGCATGTTGAATGTTTTAATTAATAAATGATAAAGTGCTGTAATCAATGAAGATAAATTCTGGTTGATTACAGCAACTAAGAAAGTTTACTTTACTGAAATTAATCATTTTAGGATTAAAAAAACCTTTCAAAAATAAAAAGTTTTATATAATATGGTAATTAAATGTATAAATGATATATTAAAAATTTTGAAAATGTGTAGTTGACCCTTTGCAGTCCTTATTGTTTTTTTTTTTTTTTTTTGATTTTTGCATTTTCCATTCAAGTCCTTATCTGGTAGACTATTACCAACTGAGAATTGGACAATTCACCTTCATCATCAATTAAATATTCTTTGCATTTCATTACACAACTAAATAATAAAGCTTTTGAAAGCTGAAAGAGTTGAATAAATAAATCATATGATACTTCCTATTTTTGAAATCTACCTAAAAAATCTGTTTTTTTCAAAACTATTTTACTGTTTTCAATATCAAAAATTTTTGTTAATCTTGAAAGTAATCATTTTAATGTTCAGTGTCAATCATCTTAAGACAAACACTTCTTGCTCTTCAAAAGCCAATTTTGTCCATTATGGGAGAACTTGACTCCTGAGATGAGATCAATCAACATAGATGAGATATATGAAGAATAACATTATAACAACAGAGAAAACTTAGTTATAAAGTTATGTTAAAATATAAGTAGCAAGAAATCAATGGAATCAATAAATAATTGTACTTAGGCTATCATCTCCTTCTGTGAAATTTCTTTGTGAACAAGTTACTGTTTAATCAAGAATGAAAATTCTAAAAATGTAAATATTAAAAATTATACATGATTTATTGATATAAACTGTCAAGTTGAAAACTTAGAAAAAGTTTTTAAAATGATTTGAAACTTTTAAAATTGTAGTAGTTTTCTAACCCATTCATTCTATTTCATTCTATTCTTATTCTTTTCTTCCAGAAATTCTAAATTACAATTATAAGATGGCAGCCTAACCACCTATCTCAAGACAAATTACTTTGAAACTACTTATTAACTTAGCCTTATTATAGCCTGATAATTCTGCAGATCGTCTGGTATCAATTTTCTAACTTTTAATGTTTTTAACTTAAATATCTAATTCTTGAAGATGTTTGAATTCTAAAAGAAATATGTTATATCAGATTGGATTTCTTTCATAATGTTATAGCACATGTAGTTATATTGTTGATCTCAGTTTCAGATAAGTAAAAGTAATCTATATTAACAGTGACCAACATGAATAACAATGTTCTAACTGAAATATCTATGAAAATGCAACATCTCAATTAGATTTCATTAGTCTTATAACAATAATTCTCATTTACTTATCCAGATAAATAATAAAAGCTTCATAAGAAAATTGACAATTCATTTTTTAAATTTTCTGGAAAAATCCTTTAAAATTTTGAATTTGTCTTGTATTTAAAACAGGTCACAGATGATTAATGACATTAGAAGTTGATAAGCCAGTCTATGAGAAGTTATGGATCATGAGTCAAGAAATCACAACTCTGTGTGTGTGTGTGTGTGTGTGTATGCGCGTGTGTAGAAATTCAAAGAGACTGAATTAATATGTTCTTTCCCCAAGATCTTCAAATGAAAATATATCTATGTTTTAACAACATAAACTTAAAAAAATTATTTTTAATTTGAAAATAGTCATTCATTTCTTAAATGATGAAATAAAATTTTCCAATGAAAATAAAACAATTTTATTCTACACAATGGGCATGTTTCCTAGCAAAGCTGCTTTACTTAATTAATTAAGCTACTGGAAGGTGCTTTAAGAAATTTCCATTTTCGTGAGAAACACTTCTACACCAGTGGTGCCCATAGATTATAAATAGGGGGGACACAATCTATAAAGAAAGGCATCATACATACATTATACAAGATGATTGATACCTGTGTGTGAATATATATAGTTATCCCTTAATTAACACAGTTAATTAATCCTCCAATCCTCCAATGCAATGTTAACAAAATTGCATTAATCAAATACAGTGGTACCCTGGTACTAGACCAAAAAGAAAGTTTCCTGTGATAAATGATTGTTGTTTGGTTCTTTGTGTACATTGTTCTATGTTGTTTCTGACTAAACAACTCAGAATTGTCAGTGAGAGTATAAAATATAAGAGGAAGTAGATCAAAAACATTTGATATTGTGTAAAAATGTAATTACCTATATGGTAAACAACAAAAATAGAATGTGTGCATTCACCATTTCTAATAAATCTGAAAATGTTTATGTCAGAATATAAGATTATCTGGAAAATTGCATTTCTAATTTTTCTGATAATTGCTTTAAAATATTAATTAAATTTCTTATGACTGCTGTTAATATATGAATATTACAAGGTCTCTGTAAGTCCGCACGAAAAATATAAATTTTAAGGTTAGCGGTAGACCAACACACAGCTGTTAGCTAATGACTTCTCTTTATTTAATTACTGTAGATGCATTTCGGTCCTATTATTTTTCGTGCGGACTTACAGAGACCTTGTAATATTCATGCTTTAAAATATATTTTCATATGTCACAATTTTCATTTTAGGTGCAATATGTAATATGCATATAATTTATGATGGCAGCCATCTTAACTTCTGTCTTCAGCATTTGTGAATCTTATTGCACTAGCACTACAGCAGCTAACTTAAAGCAGAAATAACTTAACTGTCTATTAACAAAGCAGTTATACTAGGAAATGTGTCCAATGTAATATTAAAATCTAATTTTGATAACAGACATTAAATTTTTTCTTTTAGATTATTTAAAATTTTACATTCAGATTGAATTGTCTCTATACAATCAATTTACAGTGGGTTATTGGTTAACGAAGAAATTGGATAACAAACACTTTCATGAAAGATTTTTATGTTCAGAAAACAAACACATGATCGGATAATGAACACCTCACAGAACAAACACAAGAAGAAACAACATAAAATAATGAATACAGATTGATCTTCCCTTGTCTTTGGACAACAATTCAAAACATTTTGGAGTGCGGGAGACGTCAACATCGACACTCAACCAGTATATACTGATCGGATAGTATTCCTCTGAACTTTGAAACTCTCCCTTGTAATTCCAGCCTTTTATTTTTCTGACAGAAAAAATTTTTTTTAGTATTCACGAGACTGTCGGGCAGGCACTTGTTAAGTTTTGCATTGGTTTTTATCTTCGAAAGGTGAGAGTATATTAGCAAAGTTAGAGAGTGGACAGATATCTGATGTCTGTTGTTGCTGGGCAGTATGGCTTGAATAGGTCTACAGTGGGCCATAGTTAAATCTTATCTAAGAAAGATACTATACTGTATTATCAAGAAGACTCAAGCAAATTAAGGAGTAACAAAAATCACATCTGAGAAATAAAGAACATAATGGAACCTGAAACAGATCTGACAACAGAAGAATGCCAAGAACTCTTGAATGAAGAACACCAAAAAACTTGGTGAGATATGTTTTCTTTGAGGACTATGTCTTCAAATAATTAATCATAATTATCACCATTGGACGAAAATCTACAAAAAAGAGAATTAATGTTGATATCTGCTATTAAACATTTTTTTGAAGAAGTGGTAGGATGTCAGAACGACGGTCTTAGAATGGCATTCAAACCATGTTGAGGTTAATAGTCTTAGGGATCTCTACAATTACAATGCTATTAATTACTTCTTAAAATCTTGAAGAAGAGAGAAAAGCAATTGCCATTAGACAGATTTTTTAACCCCACAAATGAAAAAAACATGATTTATAAAAATGCAAGACTGTGTACATATGTATTTTTATTATTACATATAAATTTAAGGGTCCGTTTCTTATACTGTTTGGCCGATGTAGCCATCGGTATACTTATATATAACGAACTAAACTGGGTAAATATACTATGAATAAAACATACCTTTAATAATCCAGCAAATAAAAATTAATAACATAAAAATGTTTTTGACCGTTTCTTAACAATCTTCTTCAGTTAACATACAATAGAATATAAAATTGAACACAAAAAAAGAATGTAAATATGAAAATAAAAATAACGGAAATGTAGATGCGATGGATAAAATAAACAAACACAGAAATAATATAAATTAAGCCGAAAATGTCCCTTAATAAAAAATAAAACAAATAAAGTCTCTTAATATTATTAATTTTTGCAAAAGGATTGCCATGCAGTAGGTAAAGCATCCACATCTCTATGGTTGATGCAACCAGTTTTCTTGTGTGCTTTAAAGATCTTTAACTTCTCCAGATATTTCATTGTGTGTAAATTTGTTGTAGGTTTAATTATTTCCACCCGATCCCAATGGACTTGAATGTCCTGTTGTCTTGCGTAAGCTAATAGCATGGTGTTGTCAAGCTTCTTATTAATCGTATAATTTATGTTCTTTGATATGTTGCTGCAAGTTGAGCATTGTTGCATCCACATAGACAAGATCAAAATTAAACAGTTTTCAAGCTCTTAAGAAACGATAAGAAGCAATATGACTGGAAATCAGCATCAGAGATCTATTCTATACCATTACACAATCAGCGTTTTAATTCTGATCTTGTCTATGTGGATGCAACAATGTGCAAATTGCAGCAACATATCAAAGAGCATAAATTATACGATTAATAAGAACCTTGACAACACCATGCTATTAGCTTACGCAAGACAACAGGACATTCAAGTCCATTGAGATCGGGTGGAAATAATTAAACTTTCAACAAATTTACACACAATGAAATATCTGGAGAAGTTAAAGATCTTAATTAAAGCACACAAGAAAACTGGTTGCATCAATCATAGAGATGTGGATGCTTTACCTATTGCATGGCAATCCTTTTGCAAAAATTAATAATATTAAGAGACTTTATGTTTTATTTTTTATTAAGGGACATTTTCGGTTTAATTTATATTATTTCTGTGTTTGTTTATTTTATCCATCGCATCTACATTTCCATTATTTTTATTTTTGTATTTACATTCTTTTTTGTGTTCAATTTTATATTCTATTGTATGTTAACTGAAGAAGATTGTTAAGAAACGGTCAAAAACGTTTTTTGTTATTAATTATAATTTGCTGNGTTAATTGGGGTCGGATAATTGATGCTCTACTGTATATAATAAATAATAAAATCACCATTCTAGTAGGCAATATTGGCAATACATTAAAACAACAATGCTCTAGTGCTGTTGAGTAATAATGTAAACTGTCATGACTACCACTACACTCAAAACAATGTATAGGTCCTTCCAACTTATCTTGGCACTTGTCAAAACAGACTAGTTAAATTATCTTTTTCCTAATAGTTGGAAAGGATATGTGGAAAAAAAAATAAAAATTTTGGTTTTTGTTATTTTATTAATATACAGTGGACTTCATTTATTTATTTATCTTGTATGCCTATATCATCTTATCCAAGAAATAGAAAAGCAATATAGAACCTATACTAGAGTTAATGCCCCATGTTTAGGTTTACATTTACTTTTTTAATGTTGGGATCAGAGGCCCCCAAAAAATAAATATATTATGTATGCCTTTGTTATATAATTAAATAAATGTCCTTAATCATGATGATCAATCAATCATCAATCCTAGGTGCATGATGTTCTAGAAAAAAAATGAACCACAAAAATCAATTTGTCATGTTAATATTCAATAATGTTCAATGATTGACTATCATGCACATCAATGCCCAATCACTGTCAATAATACTTGCTTGAAAAGAGCATGATATCTGCTGAAAGATGTGAATTTTTAATATGTTTGGACAATGACATGAACATTTAGTCAAAGACATTACTTCATGTTAGTTTATAGTAGATAAATAAAATGAACATTCATGTTTATGTTTCACACCATTGACTGTATTATATGTATACAGGGTGTATCAGAATGACGTTTTAAAAATTTGGGGGATTGTACAGGATGAAATTTTGAATGTTGTGATATAATGAACCTATAGCCAGAAATTTGAACTAAAGTGTCTATAGCGGTAGGAAGTGCTTGACCACCCTTCACTTTGGTAGCTATCCTTCTGTCCATTGACGTCATATTATTGCTGTGGATGGAAGACTGTACATACAATATAACATAAACATATAACTACAGTGGTCTAACTGAGCCTGTGTACAGGACATTGTGTACTTAGTGCTTGCCATCCTTCAGGTCACCCCTTGCATCCACTGGCGCTGTGCTGTAAACACACAACTAGTCAACATGAGTCTTTTGTGTACGTAACACCTGTAGAAACAGTTCATGACCTTACGGAGCACATCTTTACAGCATTTAATACCATCATAGGGGAGCATGGCATCTTACAGAGAGTCGGACAAAACATGGTTCGTCGTTGCACATTATGTAACGAAGTTGGTGGTTGTCACATTGAACATTTACTCTAAAGTAGTGCAGCCACTGATTCGATGTACAGTTTGATTGTACTCTACTGTTTTGTCAATAAAACTTGTCATAAATACTGTATTCTGCTGTTTCATTCAGCATACCGACCACATAGAACGTGAAAAGTGCTGTAGAAACTTTATATCATATTTCCAGTTATAGGTTCCTTATATCAAAACTTTTAAAATTTCATCCTCTACAATCCCCCAAATTTTTAGAGCGTCATTCTGATACACCCTGTATAACATATAACAAATAATCAAAATATTCAATATTTTAAAACATACTTCAAATCTCTATGAACAACAACATCAGCAAAGCAACCAGGACGATCTTCTCCTTTTTGATGATAATGAACTGAAGAAACAGGCAATAATTCAATACTTTTGCTTGAATTTCTAAGCATTCGAAGATAAACAGAACTGCTCATCCAAGCTAAATATAGAATAAATATTAGTTCTAATTTTAATATGATAAAATATCGATTCTTAAAATATGTAAGTTACAAATAAATATAAAATAAATTATGTATGTTTGAAATTATATTTTTAATATTTAATTNGATCCCATTGTTTTATTATTTACTTACTTTTTAAAATGTTTCTAAAATGACTTAGGCAAATGTCATTACTTTGAGCAGCAATAAGGCCAGTGTGAACCTTTTCGGGATGTTTCTTTTCAATAAAATCAGTCACATTCTGATAATATCTCGAGATTTCCTTTATCGAGCGAGATCCACGACGAAGCAAACACTCAGACCAAGACCGATGAACAGAAGTGAATAAAAAATGGCGCTGTGAACTAATGTAACGTCGTATGGTGAGTTTTTGTTCGTATCGTGGAGCAAAAGTATGTTCGAATTTCATGTCGTATCCTGAAAATTTCGTATGATGGGGCGTTCGTATCCCGAGGTACCACTGTATACTAATGGCTACACCGGCCAAAATTACATATAAATAAACATAGTAAGAAAGTATATATTTTTTATTTTTTGGCGTCTCCAGAATAAATTAATCAAATTCCCATAAAAACCTATTGTAAATCAATAATCAGTTAATGAACGATTCAGATAACAAATAAAATCTTGGAATGGATTATGTTCGTTAACCGATCACCCACTGTATTTTTCTTTTCATTTGATTTTNCGGTCAAAAACGTTTTTTGTTATTAATTATAATTTGCTGGATTATTAAAGGTGTGTTTTATTCATAGTATATTTACCAAGTTTAGTTCGTTATATATAAGTACAGTGGTACCTCAGGATATGAAATTAATCCGTTCCGAAACGGAGATCGTATCATGAAAATGTCGTAAGGTGAATCATTTTTTCCCATACGATTACATGTAATACCAAATAATTCGTTCCAACACGAAAAACACACTCAAATTAAAGCTAAGTAGTACTGTACATTAAAAAAATAATAATAACTATAGTAAGGAAAACACTGAAAAATGCATTTTGTAGTTGTAAATGTATAAATAATAGAATAATAACCATAATAGAATAATAATTGATAAAAAAAAAATATAGTTTTACTTGCACTTTACCTTTGAGGATAGACGACAGTGGAGGTGTAAACTGATGGAGGAAGAGAGGGAGAAGGGAAATTATACTAAAACTTAACTTACATAACATAATGTAACAATAACTTAAAAATGACTTAGAAAAGATTTTAAAAATTAGTGTTATTTTTTATATATATTTTTAAAATTTTTATTCACTGCTTTTTGCTTTCTTTCCTTCACTTCCACCAGCACTTTCACTGGATAGAGGTCGCTTGGTAAAATATCTATCCAAAGAGGTTTGGCTTTGCCTACTTTTTAAAATGTTTCTAAAATGACTTAGGCAAATGTCATTACTC